ACACACACACACACACACACACACACACACACCTTGTCAGTGGATACACATAAAAACCACATATTTTGGTCTTCACCAACACAGATCTCATGCTTTGGACACAGAGCAGAGAAGTGAGACCCAATCACAAGTGGTTGTGGTTAGTCTTGTTGCTCACGATAATCCCGCCCCCAGCCTCTGACGTTCTTACCAGCAATGACTTGGTGCCACTCTGGAACCAGTTTTTCTGGCCAAGACCAGCTGAGATCTTTCTTGACCACAGTGTCTTGTTTACATAAACAATGCAAATGTGGCTGCAGCCTCAATGTCAGAAAACTTTGCAAGTGAATGAATCATCATGAATGGCTTCGTACACAAGGCTATGTCACAGTGTTGCTTATTAAACCTTGTCTTTTTGGATGTTTGTGTATGCATGCTTCTAGTGGGGCTGACCTGCTGGCTGTCAATGCAGACGGCAACATGCCCTATGACCTCTGTGAGGACGAGGCCACCCTCGAGCTGCTGGAGATGGTTATGGCTGAACAGGGTCAGTAAGATGATGGTGGGATTATGATTGTCTGAAGATGCATGTGAACGTCTCTGCAGACTGTGTAGAAAAAGGTGTTAAGTGAACTGTAGGTAGAAATGTCATAGTATTTCCACATAAAGAAAAATACATTTTTGAGGAAATGAGCAGCAGGGAGATGCCATGTTTGCTGAAATTCCACTCCTTCTGAATCCAAAATCTTGATAACAAAGAAAAGAAACTGTGAAACCCCTTTGAATACGCAGATGTAACTGACGATATCCCTGCAATCGACCACTTCCAAACATTTCCCCCACAAAAGATGCAATTTCCAAGTTTGTGTGGTTGTTTCTCAAACATAGACACAGTTTTCTTGCACAGTCTCTTCAAATTCCTGATACTAATGGCAATGTGGGGCTGATGTGCCAAAAGATTTTGTATTTCATTGTGAAAGTATAACTTCACAAAGTATAACTTCACAAGATGCTCCACATTCCTCAATTTAATGCATTGCATTGGAAAAGTTTTCTATACGTTTGAAATCACATTATTGACAATCTGCAAACCAACACAAATGTTTTCACTCTCTAATTGTTATCTGTTTGCTAACTGGCATCTTTTTGTGTGTAGGGATAACTCAGGACCGTATAGATGAATGCAGAGGAGCTAAAGAGGCGGCCATGCTAGCCGACATTCGGGTTCTGCTTCAGAGCAAAGCAGACTTAAACGCTCAGGACAATAATGGAGCAACACTGGTGAGACACGGGAACACGTGCAGATGGAGAAACTTAAGCTGCCTACACAGAGTGGTGCAATGCAGATTTAACAGCTCAGGGATTTTAACTTTGTGTGGTTTCAGCATGCATTCACAGTTGTAGAAATATGTGGAAAAATATGGATGATTATGTAATAACAGGTAACAGAACTGTTGTAATGCTCCGATTATACCAGATAACATTTAGCCAAGAAAGGGCTGGATATTCAAAATAGAAGATAGCAGGTACCTTGTATTTTGTTTTGCTTTTTCATTTGGCTCGATTTGTAAAATGTGTTTCTAGGTCAACATATCATTTCTAAATCGTGCATGTCTCCCAGCTCCATATAGCATCTGCTAATGGCTACGCATCAGTGGCAGAGCTGTTACTGGAGAACAGGGCTGAGGTGGAGGTGAAGGACGCTGATGGCTGGACACCCCTACATGCTGCCTCCTGCTGGGGACAAGTAATTACTGCAAACAAAGCAAAACATGACTACCACTATTCCTAACTTACCTATTCATATTATAGTGTTGTCTTTATTTATTCCATAGATCCAAATGGTTGAACTGCTGGTAGCACATGGAGCTAATCTGAACACCAAGTCTGTCCTGGAGGAGACGCCTCTTGGTAAAACCAAATCGCCTCTTTGGTCCTCATAGCAGAATAATGTGGATGATATACACATTTTTAATGTAACAGTTAATCGAAATCATCCAGAACCATTTCTTACATTATAAATTTCTGTTAGACTCTTTTCTTCAAAACCTCAATGTATGATCTTAGCTGCTTCTGTTTTTCCAGAGGTGTGTGTGGATGAGGAGGTGAGAGCCAGATTAATGGACTTAAAGCACAAACATGATGCCATCATGAAGAGCCAAGACCGGCAGAAGGGCACACTGCAAAGACGAGCCTCCAGTACCGGCAGCAGAGGGTGAGAGTTGACATTAAAGACAGCTCCAAAGAACTGCAGGAGTCAAGATGCCACGAGACATTGTTTGAGAAATTTTCTGCTTTACTTTTTCTTTCTCTTGTTTGTCTCCACAGCAAGGTGGTACGACGTGTCAGTGTGAACGAGCGTTCAAGTCTGTACCGACGAGAGCATCACAAAGAGGCCATGGTGTGGCAGGAGCGCGGTCGACAGCCTGATCCACAGGACGACGATGAAGACAGACAGACAGACAATGAGCTGCACCAGCATGCCACCATGGTGAGTGAGCTCAATACTTTTGTTAGAAAATTAGTCTAATTATTAGTGGGGGGGTTTAACGACAGGTTTTGTTGAATGTTCTTGTGTTTTAGGCGGCTGGCTCTACAGCAACATCACGTTTAGAGGAACTGGAGGCTGCAGACAGGAATATAGTGTCCAGCCTTGGTAATGGAGGGACATCTGTTTCCCTGGCTGCCTCTGTGCCTGGAGAGCTGTGGAGCGGTGGTGGTCGCATGGAGCGCAGCGCATCCTACCAGCTCAGCCCTCTATCTGCACCTGCAGAGGGCGAGGGGGCAGACAATATGACTCGAGAGAAGTCACACCACACTCTGGCTGACCTGAAACGCCAGCGGGCAGCCGCCAAGCTCAATAAATACCCTGCACCTCCACCTCCTCTGCCCCCTCCCTTAGAGGAGGAGCCTTCTGTGGCAGCAGCCGAGAGTACGACCGCTCAGGCTGAGCCTGAGCTCCAAGTGACACCCAGTCCAGAACAGGCGGCTTCCCCAAGCCAGGTGTATTTCACCCCAGCCAGCGGAGATCCTCCATTACTGAAACTACGAGCTCCTGAGGAGGACCAGTCTAACAACAAGGAGCCCTGCTGTGGACTCATGTAGACTCACTCGGACATTAACTCATACTGCCTGCAGAGAGGCTCGGGCTGTTGAACAAAGTGGCAAAAACATTTCAAAACAACACGTTTGTAAATGAATCACGTAAGACTGAAAGTTAAGGCCATGTGCCAGTGAGGGTTCAGTTCATTTCAGATTACTCAACTGCAATCCACAGAGTGTACTCTCTTTGCTTATATTTTTCAATCAGTATGATTCCTTTACATTTTATACTCAAGGCCCCTGACGCTTAATTAGAGGCAGCACATCGACTGTATATATGCAGTAGCATTCCTGGTGTGGAGCTGCAGTATCAAGGTCTCGCCAATACATGCGCTCAGCCAATCGCACGTGTGTCTTAACTGTCAATCAAGACATTAAATAACAAATTAATACCAAACTTACTGAAAAATGAGCACTTGAACATACATCAGTGTGATTATAACTTCCTGAAATCACAGAAACCTTTTGGAGAAAAAAGCAGTCACAAGCAAAGATCATGATTATGGTCTTCACTCAACAAGCCTTAGAATCCCTCGAAATATGAATTATCCAAATAAATCTGAATGAAATTGAAGTGATTTACCTTTAACTAAGAATGAATGAATGACTGAGGTTCAAGTTGTGTGGAGGCAGATTCACATTAAACAAAGATTCAAATCAGTACAGGATATGAGAAATGAATTCACGTCCTTACAAACTACATAGAGCACAGCCCACACACAACCCAGTGTGTGTGTAACCTCCTAAACCCCCAACTCCATCTCCCGTTGATTCAGGAAAACCAGAGGCCTGGACTACGAAGCACGACTTGTGGATTTTAAAGATGGTACATTGCCATGGCAACTTACCACTGCACATCTAACGACCTCAACTTCTGACCAATCAGATCACTGGAAAAGTAGTTGTTCCTTCAAAATCCTGACAAAAGAGTTATAAGTTAGTAAAGTGACAACTAATAAAAAGCAAAAGATATTGAGACGTTTTACTGTTCCAGAGCTTCTAACAGAGAGAAGTTAATCCTAAACAGCTATACATAACTATTACAGCTTTATTTTCTGATTCCCACTTTGATTGTTTTACTTTTCACAATCACACGAGGAGACTCAATGTTTTTTATTAGAAAAAATATCCACACAGTTTGAATATTTGTTTAGATTGACCTCATCAGATATAAAATACCTTCTTCTGTCCTCTCTGCTCTGATATAAGAAACAGTCTGACAGTACCTTTATTCATAACAGCCTGTTGATCGTCAGAAGAAAGCAAAACTACTCTCTCAGTGAGAAACTTAAGAATACTTATTAACAATATGTCCTTTGCCTTATTTTGATAATGGGGTAATAATTATTTCCAGTGGCTCTTTTCTATTCTTGTTGTGTTATAATTTTGTTTACATTTGATCTTGTTGAATGTCACTTATAACCGTTGCTATAACCAGATTTACCTGCAGTTGGCATTGTTTCTTGTCTCGTAGTTAGTCCTATACCCATGGTTTTGATGTTGTCGATTGTTATTGACGGCAGCAACGGTGACCAGCATCACGTTAGACGTCATCCAGGACGGCTGATGTTCGGCTCAGTGAAGCGAGGTTACTATGAGATATTCCGGGTATGTTGAACTTGCTATGCGGTACAGGCCTCAGATGTTATCTGCTGTAAAAGTCTTAAAACATTACAACATTGATACAAGACATGAATCAACACAATATTCACACAGTCCAGGTCGAGATGACCCACCAACGAACTGTCCCATCATTCCCTGCCAAAAACGTAGAGTCACAAAGCTTCACATAATCATTACATAATCATTGCATCATTACAACTATTCTGAAGCTACATTTACACAGCTGTTTTCTTACTTGATTAATTTCTTTTATTATTTTTCCAATGCACAAAAAAGCCCTAATTTCAACATGTGTTCTCATGCAATTTGTAAATGAAATGCTCTCTCTCTTTATATTTCTATTTTTCTAGCCTCTGAATGGAATCACATTATTTATTCTATCTGATTCTGAATGTTGCTCACATGTACAGTTATTGTACCATTTTTTTAAAAGGATGAATATATAAAGATTTAAACCTGAGGGCAAGATATTTTTGTGCTAACAGAAGTAATGAAGAGATGGAAAATATGATGATTCAGGGTTGATGTCTTCTCAGATTTGACAGCACAGTAGGTTTGCAGTTCTTGCACAAAGTCGCACATGTAAATTTGGTGAGTGGTGGAATTTAATGATCTGTCGGACAATCTGATGATTTTGTTAGTGATTTATAAAAACAAACATAAAATTGTTCATGTTTTCATATGTGATTCTTGTATTTGTTTCTCAACACAAGTTGTATCATTTCATGCATCTGAACATTATCTAGTTTTTGTTTGAAGGGAGGACATCATGAGTCAGTCTCGGCAGTCAATCATCACGTTTCACCTTGATTACATAGCGACAAATAACAAACTGAAACCAATCTTTCTGGAAACACTTGAAAATCCATCAGTGTGAAAAGAACTACTTAATTTTGGTCAAGGTCATTTTGGCTTCACTTGTGACATGGTGAGAGAAGAAGTTTGCCTGAGTTGTTGAGAAATGTCTCCCCCTGTGGTTAAAAGAGCTGTTGAACATGTTAACCCTCCAGACCTTTCCCTGTTGCGTCACACACTCACTGTCAGCACATCTCGAGTGTCACAGTTCCACTTGCCAGGGCACCACGTGATTCACGCAAACAGTTCAGTAAGATACAAATCTGTTACACTTGGGAAACTGCTAATCACAAGTTTTGGGTTTTTATGACATAAAAGACAGGGTTTAAAACATTTTTGTGGTTTTCCTTCAAGATGCAATTAAGAATTCCACACACACATGCTCTGACGTGCTGAGACAGAGCTTAGCACCAAACAGGGCATGTTGTATGCTACCTTTGCAACAGTTGTTCTGGGAGTTTGTTAAAAATGGAATCTGCTTATGTTCAGACATGTTTTTGAGTGTGAAGAAATTAACCGACCAACTAAAACTGGTCCTGTCAATCTTCACTAACTCATATCTTTCTGCTATGATTGGAGATCGGTTTGTGTGTCTGTCTGTTAACTTTCCCCCCAAAAGGTTCAGGAGATAAACATTTGCTCATAGTCTTTGTTTTTTATCACTTCATTTCTCATGTTGTTTTTTAATTTCCAAACCTCTATTTTGAATTCAGATATTTTACTTTGAAATCTGAAACTGTCATGTACCACCAGAAATGTAACAGAAGAAGAAGAGCATATTTTAAACGCTCTAGATTGTATACGCCATACTGTATAGTCTCAATGGCTTTAGATGGCTTATGCAATATTTTATATTTAAAGTTTGGCATATGCATCACTTTACATGCTCTAAATTTCATATTCCACATTGTATTGGCTCTAAATGACATAAGATTTACTGTATGTACTATAAGTACTCTAAAAACATCTTGGATGATGGAGTCTGACATGTACTTGGACAAGAATAATCATATGACAGATTTGTGTTGTTTTGCCTTTGCACTTTTAATGTGTTATTTATCAGTATATGTGACATTGATCTGTACTTTAAAATTAGTTACAGGCTAAATCTAACAGGCTGTATTGTGTGACGTTGCCATAACATGCCCAGCGTGACACACTGAAGTCACTGGGGCATCACATGCTTTTAAGTTTGGGATATCGAATGTCTTTGCAGCTTCCAAGAGGGAGGGAGGTCTCTCTGTTTCTCACTCTGTCCTTCTCACACGGTTCATTTTCTTCTGCCCAAAGAAAATGCATACATCAGCAGCTTAATCCTCTTGTCTTTCCATTTTTTCTGACTCAATAACTAGCTTTTCTGGACTGATTTCATTCCATTTGCTGGCTCAGTTGCTGTGTTAGGGCCGAGGCAGGCGTGACATAATCTTACACTGATACCGTGTCATGTTTCATTAAGTATCTGGTTTAATCAGAAGAGCTAGAATGAAGCTGTATTCTCAAACATTCTCATTTCTTACATGGAGTCCAAGCTTTAAGGACTGATTCAGGTATAAATGTACGATGAAATCAATAGGTCACATTATAGAAATTATTAAATTTATTACATGGTGTAACTATGAAATATGTATTTATCTCATGAACAAGGCTGTTTAATAAATTGTAAACCATAAGTATGAGAGGGATTATTAGAAATAATATTGTGAAAAATGTTTTCTTCTTTGTACAAGGAATCATGAATCAGGAATCATGGCTTCATGATTTTGGCCTCAGATGCAGCGTGATGCAAGAGCTGAAGTGACGAACTCTTATCTCTATCTGTCCCACAAACCGTATATCAGCCTTTTTTTTTTCATAGTCTGTTTCCCCTTCTCTAAACCTGAACCCAAGTTTTTGCCTTAGCCAGTTGTTTTTGCAAAGCCCCCAAACCAAACCACAAACCGCAGCACTGAAGGAAACACTATTTGAAGGGGAAACTTGCCTTATCCGTGTGAGCTACAGTTTTTGTCAACGTAAAACTTTATTTTGATTCGTCATGTTCGTAGCACAGAGCACATGAACATGTGGCACGCCCAAGCTGTGCAGAGGACTGTTATAAGATAGGCACCCTTAGCTCCTCTGTGTTTGTGTTCAGGAGAAGTTCATTAACAAGTACAACCTGCTACAAAGTAAGTATCTCACCAATGTACTTTCATTTCTTGACCACAACATTTAAATGTTGCTCATTTAAAATGTGTAATAACTCAGTACAGTCATGTAAAGTACATGATGTTATATGTAATACATGACTTGATTAAAATTAAGAAGTTACATTTTTGTTTTCATTGTATCAATTTGCCTTTTTCATCAAAAGCATGTCACAGTAAAGATGTTTTTTCAGACATGACCTCCGGAGGATGTCCATAGAATTGGTTCCGGGCTTTCTAAGGAGTTTGCCTTTCACACATGCAACAGGAGATTCTCCACTCGGATGTTCACAACAACACAGACATTTCTGTACCGTCAGGTGAGGGGTGAGGCACCAGGCAGAGGCAGGAGGTAACATAATCCCACTGCGCAGATCACTCGTTTTTGTTTACAGAACATTACCTGTTGTGGCACATCACATTTTTACTGTAAAAAGCCTTTGGAAGAGATAATAATGTGAGATGTGTTGCGTGTTGTGGTGAATCCACAGGGTTCCACGTCACAGTCCTTGATGTCTCGGCTCTAAGCACAATGTATTTTTAGCATCTTCAGCTTATTGCTTTGCCTTTCACTTTGTCATTTTTCATTTCAGCTTAATTTCCAGCTTAATTTAAACAGTAGATGGACAAGGTTAGCAGTTAGCTGGTGAACAATCAGGCCTTATATTTGCCATGATTCAGTAATGGGTGTGTTTTATTTGCAGAAGTGTTTTGGATGACTAAGCACTGACAAAAGTCAATAGTGCTGGCTGCTGCAAAGTGGTGTAGGCCAACAAAATGAAGATCTCCTTCGTTCACCATAAAGTTTTGGGCTGGCCCTGTCTTTCTGCTGGAGGTGCAGATGACCAGCTATGAATGTGCTACAGTACCATGTTGGACATGTTTGTCAGTGTTGTGTTTAAAGCTTGTCAGTAGTGATGGAAATGTGACACCCAGGTGAACGTGCTAAGTTGATAAGACAGCGAGGTGAGAGAGCGCCTCAGTTGTCGATGCGTTTGTGAAGTCGAACATGATGCACTGGGGAAAAAACAGAAAGGCGAACTCCTCTACCAGCGATAGGTAAGGAGTTAATCTGCTTTTTTTCCCGCAGGTTTACCCATGTTTCAAAAACTTGTGTATATCACCAAATGTGCAGCTGAGATTTCCACGGAGACCATGGGGTCATCTTGGAGGACGGACAGTTATAGTTGTATGTTGTCTTCATAGCAGTGTTATAAGAGGCCATGTGAGTATATAACTGACTCAAAGAAGTCGTGTATGTCACATAAAGGAGGAGCTCCAGAATTGAGTCTAAGGGGACCACTGTGGGGAGGGGATGGGATAAGAACATTGGCGTCACAACGCAATGAAAGAATGCCCAGTGAGATTGGATTCAAATAAAGAAAGCACTTTGCCCTAGATGCCCATATCAGGTGCACTCTGATAGTTCATGGAATCAAAGGCTACTGAAAAGTTCAGCAAGATAAGAACTGAGGCCTGAGCTGCAGCTCTGCAGCTGCCTTCAGGGCTCTGGCCACAGATAACAGAGCTGTATCAGTGAAGTGGTCGCTCTCAAAGCCCAGCTGATTTGGATCAAGGATGGAGTTCCGTGAGAGGAATTCTCTATTGAAAACGGCCCATCTTGATTAAAAGAGACACCTGGAATCCCTGATGACTTTAAATGGTAGCTCAACTCAAAAGTTGTTTTTATCAATGGTTATATGCAATCTTTACGGTGACCATATATCAATACGTATCTGCTGCATTATGTCCATAGAAACACATTTTATATTATTATTAATTTATGATTGTATATTGTATTGTCTATATAATTGTATTATTCATCTTGTTATGTAATTATTATTTATTTTGCTATAGAGGAGCTTCCCAGCTTAGGTTTTTCACTCTGAAGTACCGACATATTCCTGAATTTTTTTTTGAGGGACTGTATGTGAAAACGCAAATGTCATTGCTCCAGACTTATCGATTTCTTAACTCATGTCCTGCCTCCACCTTGCTCTACCCTGTATGTATAGTTCTGAATTCGTTCTGTATGTTAGTTGTCTTTACGTGTGACGAAATTATACCTGAATTCTCTCTCTATATATATATTATCTTTTTAAAAACAATTAAAAAAACACCACTGCAAGCACTGCAAATTAAGTAAAACACATGCAAATAGAAAAAAACACATGCAAATAATAAAAACGTGTACAAGAAAACAGTTTCATCAGTTTGACAAAACATGCTCTGCAAAAGGTCACAACCATAGACTGTAAGTCACAACACATTCAAATACAGAAACCCTGCATATTGCAAAAACCACAACAGGAACAGGAGACCCATAAAAGAGATGAACCTGGCTGCACTTCAATGATTTGTGAAGTTCCATCACCACTGACGAGTAGCAGACTTCAATAACGTCTTCAAAGTATTGAACTACAGGATTGTTCATTGTTTTCTGCCCCCCCCCCCCGAAAACATTTCTAGTGTTGTTTGCGAGTGTTTCTGTATTTGCATGTGCTGTGACGTTTTGCAGCGTTGTATTAATTTGCATGTGTTTTTTACTATTTGCATGTGTTCTCTTAATTTGCAGTGCGTTGAGCTCTCTCGGCCACCAGTAATCCCAAAAGGTTTGCAACTTCTATGCCAAAAGGTTTCTCGCCCTTGCGTTAAAGTTGTGTGTTTTCCTACAGCACCTAAAGGCGTCTCTTGGTACACTGGGGCCGGAGAAAGAAAAAAAGAACCAACCAACCAGGAGCAGGAGCGAGCGAGGCGTGGCGTGGAGTGGGAATATGAACAGGCTCAGGCACTGAGGAGCTGCAGGAGGGACAGTGGACGAGCCGGTGGAGCTGATTCCTGCTTTAATAACTGGTAACAGCTCAGGAATCATCCACAACACCTGCGTCTGTCTGCGGAACCGCTGTCATTTCTCTGACTGCGTTTCAGATTCACTTCAGGAGTCCGGAGATGTCCCAGCAGGCAGCGGACGGGGGGTCGCACCGGGGCAGGGTGCTCACTCTGGAGAACATGAACCCCAACGTGAAGCGGGTGGAGTACGCGGTCCGGGGCCCCATCGTCCAGAGAGCGGTGCAGATAGAGAAGGAGCTGAAAGCGGTAAACACAAGAGTTTAACAATGCACGTGGGGAAATAATGTAAATATGTTTTTCTTCCAGTGTAAGAGAATTATTCGAATTATCTTTTATTCTTAAGACTAAAATGTCTTTATTGTAAAAACTGCAGCTGTCGCAATAAGAGAATGTGTGTGTGTGTGTGTGTGTGTGTGTGTGTCTGTGGTGACTGCACAGCTGTTGATCCTCTTCAGATCCAGAACAGCTGGAATTTGACTTCAGCTAAAAGCCTGGTCCTTTTATATTTCCTTTGTTTTTTTTTCTTGAAAACAGGACAGCTTAAAAAAGTAAATAGGACATCACGTGGATAACCCTCATTGTTTGTGCTTAGGACTAATCTATGCAGCAAAGTAAGTATCACATCTGTGCTGGAGACAAACTAAACAAATGTACTCAATAACTTTACTTAAGTACCGCTTTTCAGTTCTTGTACTTCACTGAAGTAGGTAACAACTGCAGCTCCACAACAGAATGAAATAATAGACCTTGAACTCCACTAGAGTATATTTAAAGTATTTAAGGTGTAATTAGAGAATGGAACGTAAAGTACAGTCTTATAAAGAACATGATAGGATAATACTCATTCCCCAGCATGACTTGAAGTACAGTTGTTTTCTTTTGCTGACTGGCTGAGGGAGTAACAGGCCGGACGTAGACAGTGGGTTAGCTTTTAAAAGTCCTTGCATACCAGTGTCCGTCATGTTCCTCTGCCTCGGCACTCCCGTGCATAACAACTCATGTTACATTCTCCTGTGGTCATATTGATCTGCTGTTCTCCCCTGAGGAAGGACATGCAGCTGGAAGTGGAAGCTCCTTTTTAAAATGCTGTAATGCAACTCTCTGCAGTTATGTCCTCTTCACAGGACACGTAACAGAGCCAGAGGAGGGGGCCACTCTGAGCACACTTCTATTTAGCCCCAAGGTGGCTGCAGGGTAGCGAGAGTGGAGGATGTGTACGTTGAGGATTGTTATTACATAAGAGGAGAGGGTGCATTCTCTGCCCTGTTTTGTCTCTGTCACTTTGCCCACCTCCTTCTGCAGAGACTTCTTTGGGAGCGCATGGTGCAGCTGTGAGGCCCCGGCAGCGTCTGCAGGGCCTCTCTCTCTCTCTTCAGGGAGGTTAATGATGAGCGGTTCAGGAGAAAAGCGCTGCAGTTCTTGGTAGTCCACCAGTTTTTCCTGTGCTCAAGAAAGGGAATGCTAAAAACAAACTTCTATGTTTGACTGTTTTCTGTTATACAGGAATTAAAAAGATTTATGTAAAATAGGTCAGTTCAGAGTCAAAAAAGGAGAAATGTGAAATATGAGATGGAAAAATATTTGTTTTGTGAGAGGTTACCTTGAGTTACTTTTAATAGTGATTTTCCTGAGAAAACCCAAACACTGCTTGTGCTGAAAAGAAAAAAGAAAGTTTCCTCAACGTCAGCTGAGGAAACTCTCTGAGTTTTTCTTTAAAGTCAGGAGGTTTCATACGGCTGCAGTTCAGTCCAGTTATCTTGGGGGATACTTCCTGTTCCTGTCAGATCTGTGACTACAACACTTTGGCTGATGGCTCAGCAGATTTTATGCAGTTGTGTGTGCATGTGCGTGCATGCGTGCGTGTGCATATTTATGTGTATGTATGTATGTGTGTGTGTGTTTGTCTGTGTGCCAGTGAAGTGATGACCCTTATAAATCCTCACCCAGACATTTGACGGGGGCTGCTCTCCAGTGAGCTAATTCGGTCCTGGACCTCATTTAGTGTGCATGTGTCTGTGACAATAAACGGGGCGACAATAGAGCCAGAGATCACAAAAAGAATCCCCATATTCTTTTAATTTTCTCTTCTCTGAGTTTCATCTCAGCTGGCATCTTTTCAGTGCTATTGATTTAAATCACATGAGCGGAGCAGCAGTGGCTCCTTTTCCATTTGCGTCAGTCAGAGATTGAAAAAGCACACTTCCGATGATCGTATCCTGGCTGAACCTCTCACAGGGATGAGAGTTTAAAGGTTGCGTCACAAGACTGAGTGAAATGTGAATTCCGGACAGTTGTCAGGGTAGGCTCCATTCATCCCACTGACCCTCTAGGTTTCTTTGCACGGTTCACTGGTCCAGCCTGCGTGATCAGTGCTTGGTGCTGCTGACCTAGCGGGACCACTCGGTGCTGAACTGGGGACTGGCTTCTCTCTCTCTCTCCTCCCCCACAGAACAGCAGCGTCTTTGTTGCTGGAGAGCAGGCAGGGACAGGGACTAAAAAGGAAACGTGCTGCATCCAGTTACTGAGATTTTAAACACGCTCACGTTTTACTTATAGCTCTACCCAGAGAGCCTTGCAGGTCTCACTATCACTTTCATGCAAGGACACAGAAATGATAATATTGACTCAGACAAAAGGAAAGTTCGGCCTGTGCCCCTGGAGGCCCGTTTCCTGGTAATTTTAATGTTGTACGACATGCTGAATCATGACAAGGATCATGTAAACATGTTTTTTAAAAGATATTTAAAAGATAGAGTCACTGTCCTGTGTTCTGAGGACTAAGGCTTTTAAAGGTTATTGAAAAACAGGTTATTTACATACAGGCCAATTGTGCTTTATTAATTTTTTGCTGTGCCAATCTATGCATGATGATTTTATTTATGGGATTTGTGCAGCTTTCACCAGACTGGGAAAGGGATTATAAAATGTATGTACCAACAAAGGAAAGGCCAGAGTTGGACATGTGTGGCTGAATTTAATCATCTGAATTTTAGGCCTTAAAAATCTTAAATATGTTAAAATGTTACATACATAGATAAAACAGACTCACAGGCACCAAACCAGATCCTGCAGCGTCTAATTGTCCACAGAGATGATGACGAAGGACATGCTGATTCAATAGAGCGGAAGACTGAGTGGATTGAAGCAGCAAAATGGTTCAGATGAGGAATAAAATGAAACAATCCAAGCTCATCATGCAATTTTTTACTAAGTCAGTGATTCGAAAGCATTACAACAACCAACAGTGAGGGGTTTGTGTTTCTGTGAGCAGCAGCAGTGTCGTCCAGCTCCTGCTGCACGGGGCCAAAACTGACTCCAACCAGGGTCTGTGTGAAACAAAAGGGCGCAAATGAGAGAAGATGCTTGTATTTCAGGGGCCCCAGGGGGACGTGTTCGTTGGGTGAATGCAAGTGGCTGAGATTAGATTTGCACACTGCTCCATCAGGTGTTAACAACATAAAAGGGCGGGAGATGTGATGTCGTTCTGAGAACTCATTTCCTCACCACAGAGGGACAGCGTGGGACAATATGTGTTCCCCGTGGTGATGACCTGAAATTTGAAACACGTGTTTAAACAATGTCTCACGTCTGCGAACAAATTTCACAAAATCAGGCTTTAACTGTGGTGTTATGAAGCTGCTGCTATCTTGCCTCATGTCTCATGACCTTTTTCCACAGTCTCTATGTGTGCTCCTGTTTTTCAGGGAGTCAAGAAACCTTTCACAGAAGTCATCAAGGCAAACATAGGCGACGCCCACGCCATGGGTCAGAAACCAATCACATTCCTCCGACAGGTTAGTCCCCCTCTGCAAAGTTTTGCCTCAAGTCAAAGTGCTGATGTATAATAGGTCTAACAGGTGTCATTATAGGTGTATGTCAGAAAACTGGATTTGCAACTGTGCGTTTGTTCGTGCATCTGCTCACACATATCTGGGCTTGGCTCCACCTCCTCCACAACTATCGCCGTTTAAGCAGTATAAATATTGGACGGAAACATTTATATATACTTGTATATGTGTGTGTGTGTGTAGCTTATGTAAGGATTAGATACAGTATGTAGTGGTGCGATTTTTTTATTTTTGTTCTCTTTCTCAGGTCTTGGCGTTGTGTTCTTACCCCGAACTCCTGGAAGACGACAAGTTTCCGTCAGACGCCAAGAAGAGAGCGCAGCGCATCCTCGAGGCCTGCGGCGGCCACAGTATAGGTCAGACAACTCCCCCTCATTCCAACAACCGCATTGGCCGACCCTGTCCTTTCAGTCGCCACGTCACCAGCGTCTCCATCCATTTGTTGATTCATTAATCATTCATTCAGACACTACGGGCCTGTTCACTGTTTAAACAGAACATGGACTGATCAATGCCGGGTGTTCTGTTTGAATCAGAGTTCACTGTCCTGTGATCTAGGGGCCTACAGTGCCAGCCAGGGGATTGAGTGCATCCGTCAAGATGTGGCAGGCTTCATAGAGAGGAGGGACGGTGGAATCCCCTCCAACCCTGACAACATCTACCTTTCCACCGGGGCCAGCGATGCCATCGTGGTACGAGTTACACTCCTCATCGTCTCACTGATGTACAAAAGTGTTCCATGAGTCAACGTGTTGCGTTAATCTGACATATTTTTGGGTTATAAGGATCTGGTCTCAATTCAACTTCTGTTCATTTTATACTTGGCCGTACCTTGCACACGCGTGACGTCATTCCACCTTCAGACCTTTGTCACTGTCAGATCAGCTTTCTCTAGTTTACACAATCTAATCAGACTACTACCGAATGACCTTAAGATACACCCAGCTACTGCACTGCAGGCTATCTGCTGTGTGGGGTTGTTGGTGTGACATGTGTTTATATATCCTGTGTGTGTTTGTTTACTCTGCACTTTGTAGTGAGTCATGTAAATCAGTCTTATATTCTGTAACTGTCTCACCATTATGCCAAGGGTCAAACAACCACGCCTGATTGGTTTCGCACATGAACATCCTGCCAACCCATATTCTTCAAAAGGTTTATGCTCCTTCTACCCTCTTTGATTCTTCTCTCTGATTCTAGACCATGCTGAAGTTGCTGGTGTGCGGTGAGGGTCGCGACCGTACGGGGGTGATGATCTCCATCCCTCAGTACCCTCTGTACTCGGCCGCCCTCGCCGACCTGGGTGCTGTGCAGATCAACTACTACCTGGATGAGGAAAAGTGTTGGGGTTTGGACGCTGCAGAACTCAGGAGGGCACTGAACGAAGCCAGAAAGCACTGCAACCCCCGGGTGCTCTGCATCATCAACCCTGGAAACCCCACCGGTATTTAACCACGTGCAATGAAACCGTGGCTGGAGTTTTTAAATTAGACATTGGCCCGTTCATTGCCTCATGTCATTTGGCAGCAAATGTCATTGCCAGTCTCAGACTGACACACCCAGCTTGTTGTTTAAAAAGCAAACACACCATCATTGTAATGAGGTGTGTTTAGACTCATTGTTTTCAAATTGCTTTATGTCATGAAGACTGATCAACAAAGACCTGATCTGATGTCAGTGGTGCGGTATCTCACTTTTATTGTGAGGGCACATTAAGGATTAGAAATGTGCATGCACACTGTCCTTGTTAAAAACAGGAACGTGCAGCATCAATGATGACAAAAATCCTGAAGTTAAAATCATATGATCATGTTTTGTGATTTGGTTTTTGTCGCTGGGTCTGTGTGCATCTCCTCTCACCCTCCTCACACTTGTGTTGTTGTGCGGTTTGACAGGTCAGGTCCAGAGCAGGCAGTGCATCGAAGACGTGATCCGATTCGCTAAAGAGGAGCATCTCTTCCTCATGGCTGATGAAGTAACTCACTCAAGTCATTTCCTCTTTTTTGTCCCACTCTCAGTTGTTTTCAAAGGACATGTTAACAATAAATCACTCGAGCGTGCTGCGTTCAGGCTCCACCTGATGATTGTGAACGCCAGTGTTTTGTTTGTTTATGTATTTGAAGGACAGAAAATGGAAACAATCAAATACACTAGTAAATTAAACTGTTTCTCTACATGTATTTATTTCTGCATCGATTTAATT